CTACCATAATTTATTATGTTCACGTGATATTGATTGATTGGTCTATTCTATTCATATAATTACATCATATTCATCATCCAGTATCTATTCAACAGAACACAGGGATTTACGATGCTATGAAAATTGTACATCAACAATCGAGACTGGGTCTTTGGTTTTACGTTGTCAATCTAGTTTTCTTTTTGTAGCCCTGGATATGAAGATTTAAAGATCGATGTTTTGAAGAAGTTGATAGCAAAATCCAGAAAGATTTTTGTGCCATTTGCATTGCGCATATATTAGTTCACATTGGGAAGTATATTTCCTTATTTCAGTCTTATATCATCTGTTGCAGCTGATGTCATGCATATACTAGATATTGTCATGCACACAGTAGCTGTTGTCATGTACACAGTATCTGCTGTCATGTATATACTAGATAATGTCATGCACTCAGTAGCTGTTGTCATGTACACAATATCTGCTGTCATGCATATACTAGATAGTGTCATGCATACAATAGGTGTTGTCGTGCATACAATATCTGCTGTCATGCATATACTAGATAGTGTCATGCACATTGCACACAGTAGCAGTTGTAATGCGCAAAGTAGCTGTTGTTATGCATACAATATCGGCTGTCATGGATTTACGAGATAGTTTCATGCACACAGTAGCTGCTGTCATTCATAAACTAAATAGTGTTTTGCATACAATACCTGTTCTCATCTATAAACTAGATATTGTCATGCTTACAGTAGCTGCTGTCATTCATAAACTAGATAGTAATATGCATACACTACCTGTTCTCATGTATAAACTAGATATTGTCATGCTTACAGTAGCTGCTTTGATCCATAATATAAAGACAAGGGATCTAATACAAATAAAACTAAAATAAACCAAATCAAATCCAATATAAACAAGATTAGGTTAAGGACAATAGACAAAATATTTACAGAAATAAAAACATTTTTTAAATAAATAGACTTTTGAAGAGGACTGTACTTGTAGTTTCAAGAAAACCTTCATTTCTCCGATCAACAGCGGTACACTAAACCTGTTGTCTAATCAAGGATGAATTCGATATCATTATTTGTCTGACTGTCAAATAATTTGTTCAAATTGCGATTTCTCTGTGAATGTGACTTTTGCATTAATTCTCTAGAAACAATGAAGAAAATTTAAAGAATTTGTCACGTTTTAAGAAAAAAAACGACGATATCTTCAGATATAGGTTTGGAGGGTACAATTGTGAATCGTTCTAAACCACATAAACTATCAAGTACAATAGGTGGCAACAGAAAAATGGACCAATTATACACAACGGAAAAAAATTTGTTCTCATATTTCTTGACATTTTTTCTAAAATTAAATAAAAGATTAAATAAAAAACAGAAAATAAAGATCACATAAAATTGCACTTATTTTACTGTAAAATAAGCACTTTATTCTAAAATTATCACTATTACTAATAATTTTGTCGGACACCAAAACTGAATTGACACAATTGTGACGTCAGAATACAGCTATACTGAGAGTGTACAAATTCTACGTTGCCATTTATTGTACCATGGAATCTATTTGGTTAAAACCACTCTCTAAATGGAGGGGTCACTTGAAAAAGCGTGAACAATCTCTTGAAGTTTAGAAATTCAGAAAATTTAGATTTCTCAGATCTAACTATTGAACCAGAAATATGATTTTAAAATTCTGATTTTTAATCAAAATAAAGCAAAATATGCAATGAAAGTTTTAGGAAATAAGGGTTAGGGTAGGGGTGTACGGGGGGAAGCTGGCATTAAACTAAGGAAAAACGGAGTGAATTGGAAAAAGTTTAAGAATTTGGAATACTCTGCAGCCTGCTTAGCCATGGAATGTATAAAGCAAAAGATTTAAAATTGATTCCTAATTCAATTATGTTTTTTTCCATTCTTCTTTTCATATTTCATTAACACCCCCCATTTAATAGGTTTGAGAATGATTTGATCATTTTGAGATTATTATGACAGACGATGTGATGAAGCCATTAAATTTATTTTTTGTGTTAACGTTTCCTTATATGGCAATAAAGTTTACTATGTATCATTGGTTTACTGTTTACTGGTGTACTAGGTGTACCGCGTAGAGAGAGATATGTAAATCAGATTTAATATTGCTTGCATATACTCTGCACACTGCAGGATGCAGGGCAGGAAACTTTAAACAATTAAAAACAATCGAAAACCTGGTTTCGTTTATAGGGAATTATTTTAGGCTCAATCAGGATCCTTCCTTCTTCTTCCTTGACTCCCTCACTAGGACAGGGTAGGGGGCCGAGCGCTGTGGAAATGTCAAGATATTGTTCTATTTACTCAACAAATTTTGAAATCTTTGTGGGAAAAAATATCAAAAAATTGAAGAAATAAAAAAATAAAATGTATTTTCAACTTTCCTAGAGGTCTGATTTCTCAGATAAATAGTTGGGGGGGGGGGAATAAAACTCTGTTTCGTGTTTTCATGTCAAAAGTTTCCCGTCGAATGCAGTTTGAGCCTGGTGTAGTTGCTGCTATGTTGGTGTGACCTATAATAAAGATATGTAGGTTTAAGCTTCCTCAATAATATATACTACAGGCGGGTATATAATACTAGAGGCGGGTATATAATACTATAGTCTGGAGGCGGGATATAATTTGAATAATAAGGCAGAGGTGGTACCAAGACACCCTCCTATTATTCTTATGTATACAGAAAATAGACATTATACACTGTGTCCCAACAAATAAACAAATTCCCAACAGATCGGAACCATTTTTGTTTAAGTTTTTCTTTTCAGAAACATCGGAGAGAAATAAGATTTTTCATCGTAAACCCCTTTAATTTTTATCGTAAACCCCTTTAATTTTTATCCTAAATCTTTATGATTTTTAACGAACACTCCTTTTAAGTGAAACCAATCCGTCTTCAATCTAATATTCTTCATTTGTCAATCCACGCACCTCTGATCCTTTAGTAAAAGTTAATTAAACCTAAAGTCTGACCACGTCAACCTTGTTGCACTGGCTAGCCCAATTGAGTGTCTGCTTTATTTACCCAATGTCCGTGCGTTTCAGTACAAACTAGGACCGGAAAGGTTGACCCGGCTAGGAAATTCAAGTTTACTACGGCTGACCGTGAATCACCTGTAAACGGCTGTAAAATAAGCATAAAAAACATTTCTAAGCTTTTGCTTTCTTTTATCTCCAATGGATAAAACATTATTTTACATCTTTCTTAAATTTGTTTTTACATTTTACTTAATTATTTTATTTTGTTTAGATTTTGTTATTGTTATTGTGTACTGCATTGAGTTGTGTAAACGGGTTAGAGAATGGATTAGCAAGGTAAATACACAAAATATAAATCGAATAGAGATGGATTTAGAAAATACAGTTTTATTATTTTTTCTTTCCTCTCGTCAAAATACCATGCTAGGAATGTTTTGGTTTTTGCTGAGCGAAAATTTTATTAGTGTTTTTTTTTAATCAATTGCTGGCAAAGAGAATAAAATATATATTAGAGAGGAATTTATTAGAAAAAAGTGTAAAACGGCCATTTTGTTGTACTGTTTCCATACTGCAGGTGTACTTCACATATTTGCGCTATATAACCTTTTGAGCCCTGGAACATCATTTTATAGAAAATCTTAAATGATCATTTCAGGTAGACTCGATGCCTTTCACTTTACAAACGATGATTTTCCGTTATAACTTTAAATCAAAAGATATTTTTTATTCACCTAATTCATTTTATAAAGTTTATTTAACAGCTTTAAAAAATTCGAAATCGAAATAGATAGTCTAGGGAACATTCTGTATTAATGTACTCTACTGCACATAATTTGTGAACATTTACATGATTTGTACACTTTGAACTCCCTTTTAAGCTGAAAGGGACTGAAAACATTCAAACCGAGGGATTGTAAATTCTGCTCTAATATATATTCTATTCTCTTTGATTGCTGGTAAACATTGATTTTAAAAGGAAAATTTAAACAAGAAATGAAATATTTTTTTAAAGGAAACGATCCCTTTAATTTGTAAAGATATCTTTATTAACTTCCTTGTCGCTGGAAGGTAATTGCTCCAATTTAAACCTGAACTGCTCCTTAACATAATACCGTCAATTATTATCTAGTGTTGCAATATTTAAACAAAAATTAACAACATTATACAAAGCACAACTCGACTTTAACAGTCAATAAACTAAAACTTTTTGAAGTTTTACTTTTTTGAATATTTAAACCCTTTTCCGCTCTATTATAAGAAATATAAATTGACCGAAAACCTTTTTAAACTACGAAAATTTCGTAAGAATATGAGAACATATTTATGAACCCACAACGAATTAGAATTCAGAGACTATAAGTAAGCGGAATCTCTTTATTCTTTGTACTTAAATTCAATTTGTTCTCCACAGCTGTAAAAATTGTTTTTTTTTTACAAAATCATATTCAAAGAGTTTCAGGTCGTCATTCGTAGTTATAACAAAATTTGAAATAATTAGCTTTGCAACACTAAATTATGTCCATCTAAACATTTGTGAGATATCCCTAACATTCTGTTATCTAATTCTAACAAAAATTTTCTAATTTCGAAAAGCTTTTACAGTAATTCGATATTATATCGAATATAACGTTAGGGTTGCTCCTAATCTATTTAGATTTGTTGTCTGTCATCAAATGTATTGTTTTAAGACGAAGAAAGGATTTTTTTTCTCTTTTAGGATGCAAGATTTTTCTTTCTTTAGTTTTGTTTTTCTTCCTAAAAGTTTTGCCTGAATTAGCATAAATCTTCTATATTTAAATATTTCCTGAAAAGAACTTTACACAGACAAGGGTTGTTTTCATTTTTCATACTAGTTTGCAGTTATACAAAGGTCCTTGGCTGATTTTTGATTTATGCATTGCTTATACAGGGTGAGTCAAGAAAAAGTGTGATTTGCGGCGCCTGGTGCAAAACTGTAACTTTTTTGTGCAACTCTCCTGAATGGTGTTTTTTCAATATTTTTAAAAAATTTGTAACCTTTTTTTGGTACTCCAATGGCCCGAAAAAAATCTGCAAACCTTTTTTTTCTTCCCAAAATCAAATGTTTTTTTTTTGTCTCACCCTGTAGTTTGTAAGGGGATGTAACTTAATTATTTAACAAACAAGAAAACAAGTTAACAGTGACAGGGATACAAGAATGTAAGAATTATGACCAAGTATATTCCGTACAGTCGTCTCTAGAGTAGCATTCTTTGTGGGAACCCAGTAGTAAATTCATAGTTTTGTAGTTGTTTCAATCAGGTTATAATAGGATTATAAAATGTATAATGTAGAATGCAAAAAAAAAATATGTTAGAAAACAAATTTTGGAACTCCAAACTTTATGATTTTTTGTAAAAAAAACCCTTTTTTGGTATTTTAAGTCAAAGTTAAGGAAGCAATTTCTAAAGAATGTAAAAATCTAAATTGTCTGTGAAAATCAAGGAACTTTTATATTTTTGTGAATTGAATGTTTACAAACAGGGCTACTCAGTCCCACATAAAGGTGAAACTTATAATGACGACCTGAACATTTAGAAAATGGTTAATTTCAAGATCAATTTTTTATATTATTTAACTGAAAAAGAAAAGAACTATTTTACACATCTGAAAGGCAGCGCAGCGGCCCCAGAAATTTAAGAGTAAAAAATGGAATGAATTCCTTACAGTTGTCTTGTGAGGTTTCATCCTTTTAGTGTAACCCTGCATAGCGTACATCTTTATCTGTTTGTCTGCTGGAACCGATCAAATCAAATTTTTTGTGATAACTCACATGACCCCAGGGAAGGTTTATGTACGGTGGAAAAAGTCGAAATTAAAATGTTTGCTTGTTAACAAATAAAGCTAGTATTGTCATCGAAAGAAGGGCGAAGTACCCTGTAAGCCTAGTAATATATAAAAGACTAGCTTGGGAAACCAGCGTTGTCCAGGGTAGTCAAAGTTAGTCCCACCTTGTACTCGCTCTTTGTCGTAAATTACGATTTTGGCTATTTTTCCTGTTAAAATATGAACCCACTCAACTTAGAATCTCAAAACCAAGCTAAGAACATTTCCGTGGGTTTCCCGAGTTCCCCAATCAAAATTTTAGGCAAATCGGTTCAGAGGTTCCTGAGTTATGATCGGACAAAGAAACAGACAGACAAACAGAGATTACAACTTTATATATTTAGATGTTAACATTTGTTTTTGTTCAGTGAGCGATTATTCATGCAGATGTCTGATATTATTATTCAAGATGGATTCTATGATGCAGGATACAGGTTAGGATATTATTATTCAGGATGGGTTCTATGATGCAGGATACAGGTTAGGATATTATTATTCAAGGTGGATTCTATGATGCAGGATACAGGTTAGGATATTATTATTCAAGATGGATTCTATGATGCAGGATACAGGTTAGGATATTATTATTCAAGATGGGTTCTATGATGCAGGATACAGGTTAGGATATTATTATTCAAGATGGATTCTATGATGCAGAATACAGGTTAGGATATTATTATTCAAGATGGATTCTATGATGCAGGATACAGGTTAGGATATTATTATTCAAGATGGGTTCTATGATGCAGGATACAGGTTAGGATTATCTATTTATTTTTGAGAACAAAACATTTTAAAATTAATCTAAAATTACAGATTGTCTTGTGAAGGAACTGAACACTTCTAAATTTTTTTATTCTTGTGATTTTGTAAACCTTTGATATTGAAACTATTGACTGCAAAAGAGATTATAGTATATACTGCTCGATTTAGCACAATTAATAGTTTGAATTATATCATAGGCATAAGGATCAGAAAATTAGAGGTTGAGGAAAGAGTTGCTTTCGTGGAATTTCTATTTTCAAACTACAATAATCAAAATATTAAAGTACTTCAGATATTTAATCTTTTTAAAAAAATCTATGATCATTACGTTTTTAGGCTGGCTTTTATATTCCTTTATTTAATTTATTTAAAAACTATCCTTTTTTTAAATTATAAAAAGCTTTAAAAACTAATGGAGACTTAGTATTACAAAAGACAAACCGTGTGCCAGGCGCATGCACCATCTCTATCACCCACATATCATCAAGATATCACCCACATATCATCAAGATATCACCCACATATCATCCAGATATCACCNATAACTGGCCCACTAGATTAATTAAAAAGTATCAGAGATCGGAAGTTATGTGTGTGGTATCGTTAATCATGAAAACTTGATCTCGATATCTAATGTGGTCACTTTTAGATTTTACGATAAATTCTTGATCCTTTCATTTTAGATAACCTTGCAAGGTATTACCATCACGTGATATCGAAGAGAAATTAGATGAGATAGACCGATAGATGCATGAGATAGATATCAATGTTTGATCTCGAGATTCACGAAAGATCAGGGCCCAGTTAGAGATGTATACTATAAATATAATGTTATAACTAGGTATATAAATGTTGATGATTGCTGGCTCTCTCATGAACGAGATCGACGAGGTCTTCTTCAGGCTGATCAAAACAGGTTAATATTTTAGAAATTTATTAACATTTTAAAGTATTAAAAAAAAAAAAATATAACATTCGATGACATTTCCATTCAAAAATGTAAAACATGTAAGTTTTTAACTAACAAAAAACTACTGTGAATGTATTAGCTCTACAATATTTTACAATTCAAAGTAATAATTAGATAAAATTTGTTTGTAAACAATTTTAAAATTGTTGTTTTGATTTAACAATCTGATAAAACTCAGATATTTTTTTAAAACAAAATTGCTATTGGAGAAAATTTAAAGTTTAAAATTTAAAGTTACGTTTAAAGTTATAAAATAAATAGTTTATTTTAAAAACATATTAAAAAATAAGGTTCATTAAAAATGTTTCAGATTTCCGAGTGGAATAAAGGCTTTGAGTGATTACGTTCACAGTAGAGGCCTCAAGTTTGGAATATACGAAGATTATGGTAACAATCCCTTTAGTTTGGAATATACGAAGATTACGGTAACAATCCCTTTAGTTTGGAATATACGAAGATTACGGTAACAATCCCTTTAGTTTGGAATATACGAAGATTACGGTAACAATCCCTTTAGTTTGGAATATACGAAGATTACGGTAACAATCCCTTTAGTTTGGAATATACGAAGATTATGGTAACAATCCCTTTAGTGTGGAATATACGAAGATTATGGTAACAATCCCTTTAGTTTGGAATATACGAAGATTACGGTAACAATCCCTTTAGTGTGGAATATACGAAGATTACGGTAACAATTCCTTTAGTTTGGAATATACGAAGATTATGGTAACAATCCCTTTAGTGTGGAATATACGAAGATTACGGTAACAATTCCTTTAGTTTGGAATATACGAAGATTACGGTAACAATCCCTTTAATTTAGAATATACAAAGATTACGGTAACAATTCCTTTAGTGTGGNACACTAGATGTCGCCTTTTCAAGATTTAGGGGTTTTTCGTTCACAATAACCCTGAGGCAAAAGTCCAAAATAGTTACGCGTATACCGCGTTGAATGACAAGACAGAGAGAGAGCATGCGCGTAGCTCTTTTGGGCTTCTGCCTCAGGGTTATTGTGAACGAAAAACCTCTAAATCTTGAAAAGACGAAATCCCGTTTTCTATCTGTATTGTAATTAATCTATTCTTGGTTCGTACCATAGATCTTTTTTAGATTCACGAACGTTCCCTTTAACATTTTGTTCTTCAGGAGGATGCTGACACGTTCGCTAGCTGGGGAGTTGATTATGTCAAGCTGGATGGATGCTACAGTCATCCTAATGATATGGATGCTGGATATCCAGAGTTTGGATATTGGCTAAACCAGGTAGTGAAATAACTATTATCATGGATGTTGGATATCCAGAGTTTGGATATTGGCTGAAACAAGTAGTGAACTAACTATTGATATGGATGCTATTTATCCAAAGTTTAAATATTGGCTGAACCAGGTAGTAAAATAACTAATGATATGGATATTGTATATCCAGAGTTTGGATATTGGCTGAACCAGGTAGTGAACTAACTAATAATATAGATATTGTATATCTAGAGTTAGAATATTGGCTAAACCAGGTAGTGAACTAACTAATGATATGGATATTGTATATCCAAAGTTTGGATATTGGCTGAACCAGGTAGTGAACTAACTCATGATATGGATGCTGGATATCCAGAGTTTGGATATTGGCTGAACCGGGTAGTGAAATAACTAATGATATGGATGCTGGATATCCAGAGTTTGGATATTGACTGAACCAGGTAGTGAACTAACTAATGATATGGATATTGTATATCCAGAGTTTGGATATTGGCTGAACCAAGTAGTGAACTAACTAATGATATGTATATTGTATATCCAGAGTTTCGATATTGGCTGAACCAGGTAGTGAGCTAACTAATGATATGGATGCTGGATATCCAGAGTTTGGATATTGGCTGAACCAAGTAGTGAACTAACTAATGATATGGATATTGTATATCCAGAGTTTGGATATTGGCTGAACCAGGTAGTGAACTAACTAATGATATGGATATTGTATATCCAGAGTTTGGATATTGGCTGAACCAAGTAGTGAACTAACTAATGATATGGATATTGTATATCCAGAGTTTGGATATTGGCTCAACCAAGTAGTGAACTAACTAATGATATGGATATTGTATATCC